GATTTAACAAAATTTCAATGGTAATAGCGAAAACTTTCGTTATTGAATATTATTCCAAGTAAAATACATGCGTTTAGGTAAAGTGTTCCATTAAATAATTATCTTTTTTCGTTTGTTTTCTTGAAGTCAACTTGGAACAAAAGAAGAAGAATGTGATCCTTGTCTTCTTCATTAAAAGTTATCCAGATGTAATAACTAAAATAAGCCTATCAATCGAACATAAATACCGACAGTAAAGGACCATGCTAATTGTTTTTATCAGGTTGTAGACTATATCGAGTATTTCCAACTTTTTAATGTTAGCCTACAAATTGTTCCAGTTCTAGGGAAATCATCCATCTTGAAAATCTTCATTCTCATCAAAAATCCATTTTTCAGAGGATCGTTCTGACCTAACAGACATCTCTGAAATTTTTTACATATGTTTGACAGATCATAAAGTTTAGAATGGCTCCATAGTTTGGGTTGAAAACTTCATTGTGAGTAGAACATATCAAGATATATGAGGTGATCGAGCTCTTTCTGAGATAGAGTCCTGTCAGAACTTCCTTAGATAAATGTGTTCTTTTTACAAAATGTCTACAGTTGAGCAACTTATATGAACTGACGCTTATACAATTTACATACAAAATTACAAATGAATGACAGAATGAGAAGACTTGACACGCGTTTTTGAACGAGACAGAATGTTTGTAGTAAGATTCTAGCATATATTGAACATACAGTCAATGTTAACTTCTTTGAAAAAAAAGAAGAGAAAAGATTGTATTTTATTTAAGGTGTTTGAGGTCTAAAATGACCAAAAAAGTGATCATGCGATTTCCGAAGTAGCCACCTATTGAATGGCAGATTTAATTTGTGCACCCTTTATTACATTAGGCTATTACGAAAAGTAGTACGAAGTAATACCATTTGTATTGCACAGCGACTTTTATCTAACTAGTATTGTTTTCTGATGCCTTCGACAAACGAACAAGCATGCAGGCAAATGTATTTAGATGTTTTTGTAACATAGAACACTTAAAAAAAAAGGAAATAATTATAGAAACAAATTAAATATATCGGTGCGAATCTTGAATTCGGTTTCTGAATCCTTCAACATATTTCATCAAATTTTTGCAAATATTAGTGCAAGAAATGTTACAGATTAAATATTAATAATAAGATAAGATTTTTAACGACTAATAAAAGCTATTCATATGAGTCTAGTCAATGCTGTTTTCTGATTGATTTGGGCAAGCAGAATAAAGAAAGGATAAACGTATTTAAGCAAATTTACCGCTGTATAACTCTTTCTTTGAGAAAAGGCAATCATGACAGAATCGACAAAAAAAATTTCTTTTCAATTATTACTTTAATTTTAATTTAATTTTCCTTTTTCTTTTCCATTTTATAGCGAATCCTGATAGATATCGAAAGTATAACAACAAGCAATAATAAACAATTTATGGATGCTATGTTACAGAAATATTCTTATCAATTTGAACTATTTTAATAAATTGTTTTTTACACATCTGTATTATATTTAAATAGATGAATCTAAAGCCAAATAATAAAACGAAAAATCATTTAAAATAAGAATTCTTAATACGTTCGCGTAAAGACTGAATATAAACTGCATCAAGTATGCAATGTTGAACATATGTGTTGCTCGCTTCTTTTTATGTCATTATTCACCGAATTAGTGATGATAACAATAACCAGTAGCAAAAAATAGAAAAAAAAGATATTAATTATTGACATATTCAAGATGCATAATAAATCTTCACTTGTATCTGTATCAAACTGAATTAGTGAGGATAAGTTCAGTCTATTTTTAAATAATATACAATGCAAGAATACAAGTAGGAGCGCATCAATTCCTAGAATTGGTCCGAATTAATCGCAATCGGCATCAATTAGCAGTAGGCATGTCACAATTCCAATACAGTATTCAACTATTGGTATTGAATGATATTCGTATTGCTATATCCTTAATTTTTCCACTACAGAAGGTTTTTTTAAAGAAAACAGCGATTTTTTTATAAGGATTAACAGAAGGTAATTGAGGCCGAGGAATCAAATTCTCAAAACTTTGAACTTAGTTTCTCGATTAAATAAGCTTATGCCGTCTACTGATGATCGAACTTGATAAAAACTCGTTATTTTCTTAAAAATCTCCTTTTTTGGCGGAAAAACTAGGGGTATAGCAATACGAATATCATTTAATACCAATAGTTGAATACTGCATTGGAATTGTGATATGACTACCCCCAATCAATACCAATTGCGACAGATTTCAAGCAATTCCAAGTCTAGAATTGGAATTGGTGCATTCCTACTCTTTAGTATTCGTTCAATCATCCTCTTTTTTTGTGCAGAGCTACCGAATGGTTTATTTCCTGGTAAATCGAACCCCACCCTTAAGAGCTTCAAGAAAAATGAAATACTTATTGATACTACTAAACTTGAATTTACTATACAATCATTATAAAACTCAAACAAACAGATAGTGACGAGTATATGAAATGTAATCACTCAGTACTGTATACCATGGATGATCAATAGAGAGGGAGTATAATATTGCTACAGTCTTAGAAATGTGCAGAAAAAAATGTTAGTCTCTGCAAATTACGAGTTTGATTCTTAGAAGTTCTAAATAGGCTTTTCATGTACAACCGACTATGATTGAGCTGATGAACATTCATGTATGATCCATGTCATTGTGATTATTTTGTATTTTGAAAAACTGAATTAGTCAAAATGATAATTCATATGAAACAAGAATCTTTTGTTTATAAATTTCATGAATGAAATTATATTTTTCTCTTTTTTTTCTAATCTTACGAATGAATAAGTTTTAAAATGTCTTCAGTTATTTTTGTCTATTTTCTGCATTAATAAAAGTTCACTAGAAATTTACAAGGCAGAAAACACGTTATCCTTAAATTTTTTAAAGCATTTATTTCTCAAATTATTAGTTTCTTTCGTATTTGAATTTTACTTATAAGTATATAAAACGAAAATTTTGAAGCAATTGATATCATTACAAATATAATTAACGGATGGCCCATAATAAATTGCCCACTTTTGCATTTCATTTTTTCACAACTTAATACGTTGTATTAAAAAACAAAATATACCATAAGATGAAGCGTGAAAAGCTCTACAATTCACATAAGACCACTGTTTTTTACAGTTGCACTTTTTACCTTCAAAGTGATCAAAATTTAGAGCGATCAAATTTCGACTGTGCGAAAATTAATCGCAGAGAATTTTGCTGTTTTACAAAACAATTACAATAAGCTGACTAGCGTAAAATATAGAGCTTTTCTCGCTGCATCTAGTGATATATTTTATTTTTCTTAAAAAAAAGATATCAGGTGATAAAAACATGAAATAAGAAAAAACCAATCCATCTTGTACAAAAAAAATATCGTTTTTACATGGTCAAAATTTTATTGCTCAGCTGATTTTGAAAACAAAAAGTGCAACTATCAAAAGGTGGTCTTCCATAAATTGTAGAGCTTTTCAAGCTGCATTTTGTGGTGTATTTTGTTTCTTTTTAATAAAACGGATCAGATGATAAATAAGGAAAAAACAGGTATTGAAAAATGACTTTATCGCAGCCCCAAAATCTAATCGCTCAGAATTTTTATCAGTTTTGAAAACAATAAATACAACTGTAAGAAAACCTGTCTTGTATAAATTGTAGAGCTTTTCACGTTGCATCTAATGGTATATTTTGTTTTCTTTTTAAGTAGAAGATATCAGGTGATAAAAAGATGAAATAAGAAAAAACGAATTCATCTTTTACCAAAAACAATATCGTTTTCGCACGGTCAAAATTTGATAGCTCCAAATTTTGTCGATTTTGAAAGCAAAAAGTGCAACTGTAGAAAAAGCTGTTTTGTATAAATTGTAGAGCTTTTTACACTGTATCCCGTGGTATGTTTTACACAATATTTTTGAAATTCTACGAAATGAAAATTTCTTCCATGATGAATGTTTTTGTACAAGCTGTTTCGCTTAAAAAGAAAAAAGAAAATGTATTCTTGAGTTTCGATTCGAATAAATAAATAAGAATACCTTTTAAGTTGGAATATTACAATAAAAAAAGAATGCATAAATAGGTCGCACATGTTGTCTACCGCTATTTTTCTCGAATAGAATGAGAAGAGTTAAATTCTGAGTAACATAGATTTAAAAATAGAAGTTTTTTTGATGAGATCATTTCAAGTGCACTACTATACTATATAAATAGTCTCATTTATATGAATATTTTCTTCTTCATATAGTGAAATAATACTGATCAACAATTTGTTTTCTCAAAAATGAATGTCAAAATCTTCCTTGTAATCAAAAATCAAGATGATTGTTTGTTCTACTTTCATGTTTGTCGTCATCGTTGTTACCCTACTTTATTACTTCGGTCAAAAACGAAACTGAAAACAAGCTATATACAATCATCATTGCATGTTGCTGGTTTGTCTTCCTTTTTTCTCTTTCATTTTCATGTAATGATTAGGAAGTATGAAAAAAAAACATGTTTATTTAGACAAAATCGACATCATTTTTTTCCGGTCGATTGCATTTATAAAACGACTCTTCTTTTTATTTCAAACATAACTACTGAGTTATTAGAATCTTTTAGATTGAAAAACAAATGGCCACACCAAAATTAAACAAGGAATTATACTACAATATAGTTCGACTAAAATTATTAAACGCAACTACTTCAGATCCCAAGTTTATACTTGATCAATCACCATTTAAGGAAGATAGTGATGAACAAGATACAGATGCTTCCGCAATTCTAACAGAAATCTTGATTATTGGACGAATTTTTCCAGAATCCGAAACATTTAGGGAAGGTGCATTTCAAATTGAAATGAAAATAACACCAAATTTTCCATTTGACCCACCAGAAGTACGTTTTCTTACTCCAATTTATCATCCAAATGTTGATAAAGATGGTAAGAAGAAAAAAAACAGAAAAAAAACTGACATTGACGCTTATCATTTTTTCTAGGAAAATTTTGCAATGAGTTGTTAAAAAAAGAAGCTAAATGGTCAAATAAAATGACTTTAGTTGATGTTGTTAAAACTGTTGTACAACATATCGACAAGCCTGATATTGATCATTCACTTAGTCCTGGTTCGTTCTTCTATTTTTTAACTTTTATTTTATTAATTTAGATTTTTTTTAGAACTCGGTCACGAATATATCGAAAATCGACCTGAATTCAACCGTAAAGCATTGGAATATGTCCGAAAACATGCTTTGCCACGCAACTGATTCTACAGATTTGTTTTTCCAACGAACTAAACTTTTCTTGTTTTTATTGTCTTATATATCACAGAAATTTTCTAAAATAGTTTCGAATGTTAATACCATTTGAGATAACGAAACCCATTAAGATGTTCGTCATTCAGTTTTATAATATATCTTAATATTTATCGAAAAATTTAATCGAATATCATAAACATAATATCTTTCAAACTTTTATGACTAGAATTCAATACAACAAGTAGCATGAAGTTGCGTTGGTACTTTAATGTCGCTAACATAATGTTATAAACATGTAGTCAATTGATTAAACAGATAATATTTATGAAAAATTCTTTTAATTAACTTGTTGATATGCTGTCAAACCTCAGATAGTTCACATTTTGTTATCAGATTCTGCTTTATTTATGCATTTGAATACTTAGTTTTCAAACAATGGATTCTATTCAATAATTTAGGTATCGAAAAATTCTAAAATTTAGTTTAGAATTGAATAAGATATTTCCTGCATGAGACAAGTTTTAGTAAACATGTGTTTTAGACTGGCAATGTTTTGTTTGTACTGCTGATTATAATTTTCAAAGTAGTTCTAGGCAAACTCTAATGAACATATGATAATTAATTTTCTTGTTCAGGTTTTTTCCTGTATCACTTTAAAATATTCTGGATTTATTCAATGCTTCAAGATTTCATATAGTTATCGTTGATAGCAAAAGCATCTTATAGTGATTGCAAACAAATATCATTGTTTAATTCATGTAATAGTACATCATGGAGTACATTTTTAGTTTTGGTATTACTTTGATTTTAATAATAATATAATTTACAATAAATGGATATTCTGTTACATTCTTAGTTGAAAAGACAACGTTAAGATATTTAAGAAGTGAAAAGTCTGCTTAACTTTGCTTCTCTTCTATTATTAAAAAAAGAAAAGAAACAAATCTATTATAAGGTAATAATTATTGTTTTACTTAGTTATGTTCCTTGATAGAAATTGTGAGACCTGGCTCTGTTTTCTTTCCGCAAGATCGTCTTTTTATTTTTGAGAACTGATTGATTTATACAAGAAAGTTTCGAATCAGATGTCAATCGATTAATAAATTTTAGACGATTTCTTTTATGTGCAAATTTATTGAAAATAGAAGACATTTTTCCTATGTAAATGCAATTATTGAAAAAGATTCGATTCTTTCGAATGAACTATAGGCTGATCTATCATTAAAAAAATTCAATATTTGGATGAATATTTTTTTTCTGCGAATAACCATACTAAATATTATCTTTAACTATTGTAGATTTCAGAGTTAATGGACGCAAACATTTTTTGAACAACTTTTGATTGACTAATGCTATCGAGCTCGAACATGTCTATCTGTATAACATTTGTTTGAGTGAAAAATGTTTTCCCTGATTGTTTATACATCAGTATGTTTTTCATTCTCTGTTGCCATAAAATTTTCATGTTAAATTAATCTCAAATTATACCATATTGTAGTCCGAATTATTTTTTATACATAGTAGAACCTCCATATCTCTATAGTACTATTTCGACCTTTTTCTTCGACGAAATCTTTGTGAAATATGATAATTTTACCGGATGTATAAGATAACTCAGACTACAATTTGGTATAGTTAATGATTAATTTATCACAAAAATTTATGAGAAGAGAGAATGAAAAATATTTCGGTGTACAAACAGTCATGGACTACGCCAAAAAACTCATTTTAAAAAAAAATACAACTGGAATGATGAAAACTTTGTTTTTGTAGTATCAGTTGTTGTTTTTGATGGTTCTATATCAATATTCATTATTTGATTATTATTCAAAGAAATAAAAGATCTGTAACTATTTCATCAAGCTTTGGGTTTTTATTTGTGAGAATAAAAATAAAATAAAAATAGAGAAAAAAAGAACAGTTTTTATTTAATGATGTTAAGAATTTTTCCAACAGCAACAGTTTGACCTTCATCACATAATGCAAATCGACCAACTCGAGGAAAATGGTCAAATAATTCCAAACAAATAGTTTGTCCAGATTGTGATAATTCAAATATTGCAATTGCAACTTGATCTTGTTTTATATATTTTGGACCTTCTAAAATTTCTTCACGTGTTTTACGGTCAATTAATGCTATTAATTCTTTTAATCGAACTTCAACTACTGCTGCATGAATATGAAGAACAGCTAAGTAACCTGGATAAATTTTCCATTGACTTTTAATTATCATCACCTAGTTTTGAATATATAAATATATATTTCAGTTATTTATTAATTTATTTTACTTCTGATTTAAAGATTCTTCCAACACGACATGGTTGTTCTTTAGCATTGCATAAAATAAAACCAGGTGAAATTACCTAAAAATCTTGATTAAAAAGTGATCATTAATAAAAGGAGAACACTAACTTTTTCTGCAACATTTTTTAATTTAAGTCGAACATTTGCTTCATAAACACAAGATTCAACTTCATCATTTTCATAATAAATATTTGTAATTTCAGCATGTGTCCGATTTGGCATCAATACACATTCATCACCAACACGACAGCACCCAGATGCAATCTTACCCATAACAATTGTACTATCCATTTCCTATATAAAAAAGAATTGAATTTTTTTTTTTACAAATAACAAAAACAAACACTGTATCGTTCAAAGATGAGCATTCGAAATGGAGCACGAATCATAAAATCCCGATCTTCTGAAAAATTGATGTATTGATTAAGAATTGTTTCTCTAAAACGAAAAAATTTATGGATTTGCAAGAATAAATTTTTTAGTTCTTTAACTTACGGTGAATTGTTCTTTTTTTTTGAGTTTCGTATTCAAATATATCAACTTGATTAGATTACCCTTTGCTTCGTTATCAATCATTATTTGAGCATAATGTTTAGATTCTAAAAATGCAATATTATTTTCATTTTGTTGTTTGTTGATAATGTCATCGATGAAATGATTAAGAATAGCATGACATTTATAATTGCGGAATGTTTTATTTAAAAGTAAATCAATAAAATCTGAACGTTCTATTTGTGATTGTTCAACGAATTCCATTATTATATCATTTTTCATGGATGTTGTTTCTTGATTACTAAATGTGTTAGCTTTGATTTTTCGTAAAACACCTGAATTGTAACATGTTGTAAAATCGTATTTGAAATCTTTTTTAGCTTCATTCTTTTTGTCAAATTCCACTTTTACTCTATCTACAAATGGTTGTAGGAGATGTGCAAAGACATCATTAATGATTTGATCACTAGTATACTGTCTGTAAAGAAATATTAAAAAAATAATAATTTTAAAAATATAGAAATTATATTACTTTAGCTTTATCATTTGTTCACTTAATGTATTAATTTTTTTTTCAAATTCTTGATTTTTATCATCTTGTTTTTTCTTTGTTGATATCATGTCGTTTTTCACCATCATTAATTCAGTTTTAGTTTGAATAATGTTATTCTAAAGAGCAAGACAGGGGTAAACAATTGATTGTTATAACAAGGGCAATACATACTGAGAGTTTGTTGAGACAACTTTCAAGACTAGATACAATATCATTAATTTTTTTTTTCAAGATCGTTGATATTGGTTGGTTCAATTAAATATTTCATTTCTTCTAAAGGCGTCGTAAAATCGTTTAGTTCGGTACTATCATTATTGATCATTTCGCTGATTTGTCGACAGTATTGTTGAATTGACTTTAAACAACTTGAAGGAAAATCGGGTAAGTTTGTGCAAATATCAAGCAGAAAATTAGTTAGATCAATAAATTTATTAATAATATTTGCTTCCTCATTTTCAATTAATCTTAAACTGATTTGTTCAGCTTTTTCATATTGACCAATTGATTCAAAATATATTGCATTTAATTTGATGATACGAGGACTTGTTGTTTCAAATTTTTCTTGTAATTGTTTAAGACATTCACGAGCAATCGGTTCATTTGAACAATGTAAAGCTGATTTAAATACTTGTTCAAGTATGAACCATTTTTCATCACCTAATGTTGATAAATCATATTGAGATAAAACTTTTGTCCATAATTCAATTATTTCACCATCGAGACTGTAATCTTCACGACAATATTTACGAATTTTTTCAATAGTTGATTCCATTGTTTTTAAAGATGATGTCGAATTGTTTCCGAACAAAAAAAAATATAAATGGTGGGACCTGTGGGATATAGTACGGACCCACACGGCAAAGAGTATAGTGAAATAAGAGAAACAAAAGCGAGTCCAACATGATTGGTGTTTTCCGATTTTGAGAAGGGCCAAATATCACTTAGGTATCAGTGGATAGAGAAAATTTTTCTCTATCATATGGTGATTTTGGTTTTCTATAAAAAAGTGGCATTCAAAAGCTCCGCTAGATGTCGTTAGTAATTTTTTTAACACGATTGGCTGAAATTATCCTCACTTTACTCATTCTCATCATTGTTTGACTGTGACAGTAAGTTCCATGCGTAGTTAGCTACCAATCAGTAATGATCTCTTAAACCGGACATAGGCCTATAAAAATAATATTACTAAAATGATTATATCATTTTATAAGTTCAAAATGAAATATTAAAAGTTCTTCAAAAAGTGTTAAGATTTGTGGCGCCATCTCAAAGTGCATTTTCCGCTATTGATTTTTTCACTTCGCTGTCGTGTGGGTACGTAGTACGTACGTAGGTCATGCCAAAAGTTTTTAGATTCTCGATTGACTTAATAGATATATACGAGTTTGATAGTTGTTATGGTAGACCAAAGTGTTACAAGAAAGTCCACAAAGTTTTAGCTCTTGCGCATTTCTCCTTTTGGTTTGGTGTAGATTAAGTGTTACGCTACTAATACATTTTTTGCCATTGCTACGAGTCTCACATGAGACCAAATTCGAGTTATGATTTCATTTGATTACAAAAAGAAATTGTCACAGCAAGAATAACTCGAATCCTTACACAAAGCATTTGGTGACTCTTGTGTTTCACATGGCATAGTTTACAATTGGTTTGCTGAATTTAATCGTGGCAGAGATCAGTTTGAAGATGAACCTCATGCTAGTTGACCGAGAACTACGGTCACTCCAGAAAACATCGAAGCTGTTCGTCAGCTGGTCAACGTTGATCCACATATTACCTACCAAGAGATAGAAGACATCTTACAGATTGGATCGGCAGCAACTAAATCTATCCTTCATGATTATCTTAGTTTAAGGAAGCTTACATGTCGTTGGGTGCCTCATTTTTTTCACTGAAGCTCAAAAACAGGATCGTGTTGACTATTGCCTGGAAATGCTCGAAAGGTTCGACGGCGATGGGTGAAAACGTGTGTATGATATCATCACTGATATTGAAAGTTGGCTCTGCTATTATGATCCAAGGACGAAGCGTCAAAGTCAAGTTTGTGTGGCAAGCAACGATCCTCGTCCAACCAAAGTTCGCAGAAAACGTTATGTGGACAAACACATGTTTGCGATTTTCTTGATGAAATCTGATTTTAGCACAATCATTCTTCTTACAAACAGTAAAACAAGTACAGCTAAATGCTATGAAAATGAACACCTCTCGAATGTTTTGAAACAAGTGGAAAAAGATTGACGCCTCAAGAGTCTTATAATTCACCATGATAATCAATCAGTACACAGGGCAGCACAAACTCAGATGCTCAATACGTTAAGTTGCTGGATCATCCAGCGTAGTGTCCGGATTTGAGTCTGTGCGACTTCTAGCTATTGCAAAAAAATTAAAGAACAGCTTCGCGAAAAAAATGACCAGGACATTAATGAGCTTCATGCAGCTGCCCAAGAAAAAATAGACGGTCTCCAAAAAGAAGATTTCTACCAATGCTATGAACAGTGATTCGAAAGAATGAATAAGTGCATATGTGTACAAGGACAGTACTTTGAACAAATATAATAAAATCATTTTAAACTGAGCTACCAGTATTGCAAATCTAAAAGCTTTCAGCATGACCCACGTACCAATGACGGCTATAGAGTTATTTTTTAGTCACATATAAGTCAGTCGAAGGTGTCGACAATTCATTTTTCTCCAACAGATACAGCAAGTATGTGAGTTACATAAAGTACAGTTAGCGCATACTAATCTGTCAGATGACGAGGAATACAAACAATAAATTATTTTTTGTTACCCTATTAGAGTTAGTAAATATATTTTTTTTTTATTTTTGGAAATATTTTCTATA